ATGTGGGCGCACACAGGGCGTCCCTATCAATAATTGTGCACTTTGAGACGGACGGTTTATATTAGAGCTATGGTAACGATTACAAAGCTCGATAGCAATTATAGTGGAATTAAGCGGTATTGCAGAGACGTCTATGAAGGGTAGAAGACAAGGTGTTCTGCACTTCATCAAACGTCGTATAGGTGATTTACTACATATTTGGGCCCTACAGTAACTTGTGGTGCCCCACTGATGTGCCAAGTCGGTGTTTTTATCCTCTCAGAAGTGTAGTGCTAAATTGCCGACAACTAATGGATAGATTGCCCCTAGCCTACTTTATCGCTAGGCTGAACCTCTTTATTTGTATTCGTTTTTTCGCAGCGCTGACTAGTGCTATATGCGCCTACACAGACCTCTATGGAGATGAAAATTGTGACACAAAAAAGTGGACAAACCCATCCGGCTAGCATAGCCTTCGATGTGTGTTTTGTTGAAAAGTGAAAAGTTCCATCGAGATCTTTAAACATCATCTTTGAATAAAGCCACTGAAATGAGACTGGTGTAATCGTATTTTTAATCTTTTCCTCGGTCACATGCTGTTTTTATCCTTGAAGGTAACACCTTGCAGGATCATGTGACATTGCAGTGGTGCAAGTAGTTGCTTAACAATTACGGTCAAACAAGAGTTGATTTCCACTCACAACGCGCGATAGTAATTGACCCCTTAAATCCTAAACCAACATATCTCTTCGTAAAGTGAACTTCATTAGTTTCAACGCGGAGTTTTAGAATCTATAGGTCTAGCCTATACGGAAAAATCTTCATTTATCGCGATGGAATACCGTTTTTTTTTAGAGAATTTTTTGTGCGTTTTTCGTAGGATTCGTATTTGAAAAATAAAAGTAATTGAACAAGCGATGTTTGATCGGTTAGAGCACAGTGATGTCAGCAAGTGGTTGGTGATGTCTATGGCTGCAGCGACTTCGTTTGGAATTTTAGAAATTTAAACTTCGTTCTCATTCGCTTCGAAAACTTTATCGAAACAGCTTAAAGAATCGAGAAACAGGATTAGAGTGTCTTACCTGCTGTTAAATAGATAAAACGAAGTTTGTCATAGGAGTACCATAGTTACTGAGCATTTATAAGCAGTTCGTTGAAAACCAGCTCCAGGATCTATTTGTTAAATACTCAGATTACTTCTCTTTACATCACATGCTGATCCCGACACTTCTTCCATTAGTTTTCTTGTCTTGTCTCTGTTAACATCACCCCTACGACTGAGTTCCATCATTGGTTCTTTTCTGGCCTGACGATCTGTCGTATTCTGTCTTCATTGAAATGTTGACTGTTAGTGAAGCATTGTTTTCCACTGAAATCTCAAGATAGTCGTGCCGTGGCGCTCTTCAGTCTTCACAACAAATCGTGTTAAGCGTAGCTATACAGTACAGTTGAATTTTATCCTATTTCTCAACTGATTTTCTTCAAGTATTGGAGAAAACGTTAATTTTTTTTGTTCAAATTTCTACTGTATGTCAACTCGTCAGGATGAAATGCTAAGCTCCCGGAGTCCAAAAATTGTCTTTTTTTTTTTGTTCGAGCAGCAGGCTAATTTAACGGTCGTTATTTTATGAAGCAATGCACGATGTGCCTTGGAATACGAAAAATAATCCATGAATATGTAACCTTCGAATCGTTAAGATGAAGTCCCGCAAATACTTTCTGAAGCTCCAAAGTCCTCAAATGGTGTAGTTATCGTAAAATAATCGCCACCCATTGTTCAAAATTCGAATCGTCAGGAATGTGCTAAAAAAGATCCGGTCAGCAGCACATGAATTTGATTTCGCAGTTTTTTCTTTCTTAGAAAATGCAAGACTTTAAGTCGAACAAGAGTTGATTAAGTAATTCGTTGTTCAAACCGTCAAATTATTACTGAAAACTTTCCTTATCGATTGAATTACAAGTGGCTATAAAAGTACAAATTATCAGTCTGATGCAGTAGTAATCACTTTTTTTGAGCGACAGTTTTGAACTGCTATAGCCGACTGTAGCCAAAGTTTTACTTATTTAAATAACCACGGATAGAATCTGAACATTTTTTCCCAGAAAATTGGAAGTTTATTTCGGAAAAAAAAAAGAAGAAACCTTGCAGCTGTCTAGTTGTTGAAGGTTTTCGAAGGTATAGTCGAGATACATCGAAAAAATGATTATTAATTAACGGGAAGCCATTTATTATGGTAGTTGGAGAAGGAAAGGTTTCATAACCTTAGTGATTTAACTTTTTTTAACTTTCGCAGTGTTAATATGCATTCTTTCTTGATAAGCTCTCGAATTCGAGAAGATGGATCACTGAGGAAGACCTGACTCGACACGACGGCGAAGCTGCAACGTCGAGACGAACAACAATCATGGACCATCGACTCGGATCATCGGCTCTGAGGAAGACGAAGACGTCGAAACTTTAGCCGAAAATAAATATATTTGTCAACCTCGTGCAAGCTTATCAAGAAAGAATGCATATTGATTAGTCACACCGAGGTTCAGGGAAAGTCGGTTTCGAAATATTATTTCGCAATATTAGTTGTGCAATTTGTGGCGAGGTAGTGTCGTGCGAATGGACTGAGCTCGTTTTTATTGGCCATATTTGGATAAATACGCTCGGGTTTCTGAGGGATTTCATCGATTCCATGGCAATACTTGCCTGCTGAGATCGCTTTGTCAGCATTTAAGATGTTTTATGAAATGATTCAATCAACTAAAAACGAAAAATGGCCTCATAATCATCTTCGGATGCAAACTCCACTTCGAGAAATGTTTTTGAGTCTATCTCATTCCAATGCTTTTGCTGAACATCTTATGGTGTTGTACAGGATCTACTTTTTGAACGAACAACACAATAGACTCGAGAAATGAGTGGTCGCTTCTGTTTCATGAAAGAAGCACAGAACAGAATTCGTGACCGCAATCTCGCTGCTACTTGTTCATTTCGTATGGCACATATCTATACGGCTTTTTCACCTAGCTTTTCAATGTCTTCAAAAATGATAATCCATTGTTGAATCACGAGTACCAAGTCTTTCTACAGATCTTCGACTATTTTTTGGAGGGATATCGCGTATCGCCCTCGGACATCGCTATCAACAACTGATACGTGCATTCGACTTTCTTCGTCATGAACATTCATGTCTTCGGTATGGAACCTTTGAAATGATCTGCGTACGGGCTTCGAAATTCCTAACTTTGGCTACATTTTGGCATTTCAAGTGGCTATCGTTGTTTTATGTCCTGTCCAGTTCTGGAACTCTTGAAGTAAAAGAGCGCAGTTTTTATGATGTGAGAGTATTGTTTCAATTAGTCTAAGGTAATTGTGGACAAGTTTCCAGAAAAAGTGCTATATGACGAATTGTCGAGTTAAAAGCAGGGTATAAAGTGGTTCACATCAGCAATCGATGTAACAAACGTTCATTCCGAAATATATGCACAAATTTCATATCGAAAAGCGGCCATTATTTCTGCGTCAACCTGATACTTTATTGGAATTCGGAATTCATCGCGTTCTGAATTGCTCAGTATGAAATTTTTCATTTGGGAACGGGAAAGTTTTAAGGAGTTTTTCTTCCATGCAATTACGTATTTATTAATAATGTTCTATGCATTGATTTCGCTTCACAGTTAATCCTCATAATAATTTTTATCTAACTTAGAGTGTTGAACTAAAATGTTCTAAACAGTCTACTCCCAAGAGACTTGTTATTTCGAATTCAAATGTCAATTTGAAATCCGCAAAAATGCCCTGCTACACCAAAACTATTTGAGGCTAAGGGCACGATCATAAGATAGCGAAGTTAGTTCCAGACGTTTAATGTTAAAGGTGAGAACTTTAAACGTGGTAAAGGTTAGGGATAATCGTTTTCATTATCGATAAGCATTTGAAAACGTTAACTGAAGCAGACTGATGCAGAACGGCTTGGCAGCCAGCGGAAGAACCAGACGTAAGGGATGAAAAAACTGTTTCGCGAAACCTTAACCGAATTGGAAAGTTAGAAGAAAACTCAAGGCACTGAATGCAGATTGAGTTTTTGAAGTTCAGAGACTCTTTATTAGCTTTTTAGTCAGCTTTTTTTGTAGAACTACACGAATCATTCGTCGATCGTAGGGTGACTGCGACTAGAAATTTTTTTCTCCTCAAGATAATAAGCTACATCTTCCGTAGGCTCGAAGAAGGCGACAGGAGCAAAAAAATCTTCCGAAACAAATCCGTTACCCTTTTTTTGAAAACTGTCTCAGCTATTACACCAGAAAAGTTCTGTCAAGAAATCGACAAAATGCGAAAAAAGGGCGTGCGTGTGCGACCGGCATTGATCAACCGAAATTAGACGATTCTAGTGTATTGCCAAACCAGGGTGTTCCACAACTAGTAATGGTAGTAAAGTGGATTGTTTTAGTACCAAAATGTGCTTCATTCACACTAGTTATCCATCCTGTAACTAATGGGTTGTCATTCCTTCAAGTATCTGGGCAACTCTTTCTTCTTGGTGACATTCACTAGTAAGAAGAGTCGAAAAAACTTTCACAACTTCATTAGATGTTTGAGTTCAAACTTTTGTGAAGATGGAGTCTCCAAAGTTTGGTAAGTTTCTAGTAGTATATGGATTGTAAATCTTTATTGATGGAGTTGGGGTATAAAAAAGTTGTCACATTGTAAACTTTCAACGGTTTCACCTAAACCCTTCAACGTTTAACATCTGGTGAACATTTAGCAAGTGACATGAATACTAGACGAGTCGCAACCCATCTGTGAAAAAAGAGCTTTTGTTTGTTTACTCGGAAAGTTTTAAGATTGTTTGTTCAACTTGAAACGCGATGTGAGTTCACGTTTTCCGTTGTTTTAGGTTTAATTTGTCGACATGGGTTAAATGCTATTCAGTAGATGGCTGCCACTGAGTCTTCCCGGTTACTGAAAGCATTATTTGTAATACTTCTATATACTAAGCCATTTAATTTCTGAATATTGGATTCAGTGGATGAAAGTCATATTCGATGGATTATGCCGAGACGATGATGGCTTACTTCATGTCATGAAGGCGAAGGTTACTAGTAATTCTCTGTCTGCAACATTCTAATTTTCTTACAATCTGCCCATGTCATCACGCATGAGTGGTGTTTTCGTATCGGCTGGTGGTTTAATGACTGTTTTCCTTTACATCTTCAGTAATAAGAGTGTAGTAGTAGTAGTAATAGTACTGATGGGATGATGTTGGCACCACTACTGAATCGTCGTCAGATCGTATCTGGAGAGTTTACGGTTTCGCGTTGAGTGCCGCCTAAAAATGAGGCAAGGTCACTTTTTACCACTAAACATCGTTGATTCGATAATAGCCGCTCGGCGAGAGTTGTGCATAAGTACGCAATTTCATGACTTTCGTCTTTCTTATTATATTGATTTTCGACAAAGCACAACTATCCATGCATTCATCCATCCATATCCATGAAATTGGATCGATGAAATGTGCCTATGTTAACGGCACGACGCAGTTACAAGCAGGCGTTGTGGTATTCTTTCCGGGTACTGTTCATACAGAGTAAACCCTTAATGCTATGAATTTTGACTATGTGATCACAAAGAGTTTTGGATGCTGGAGAGCATATCGAAGCCTTCACACGAACATGCTCTATCGATTACTTTCATTATTTTGATGAATTTGACCGAACTAAGCTGCTAACGCATAGAGATTGGAACGCATTTTCAGTAGAAATCAAAGAAGTGAGGCGAAAGGATAGGTATTCACATTTTCCACTATAACTATTGCTGTATCTTACCAAAACTCGAAATCGAAGCTGGAGAGCGTAGATTTGTTTTTGATGCTGGCTGGTGTGGGTAGATGATCATAGCCCTTGTTTGGTCCATTACCGTCGACGGCCTGCTGTTCGTGGAAGTGATTCATAGAATTTCGTCATTGTCTGACGAATGGGTTTTCTCTCTTAAGTGTTGTGTTGCTGAGCATACGTTCTAGTGAAACGATGTTATTATGTGATAAAGACGATCTTCACACTTTGTAAGGCCCTCTCACCGTTTTTTCGAACCGGAATCGATTAGTTCTGTTGTCGATCCGTAGAACTGCACTGTTGCAAGCTCAAAAAAGAAAGGTCTCCGAAGCGTGCCGAAAGAGAAAAGCTGGCAGCAATCGATTTCATTGGCAACGCGAGCAGCGGTCATGTACGGTGGGCGTGGCCGTCTGCCCCGCCTCCAGTCCGCGCAGGACCCGCCTACTGTCCGTTCGACTGCCTTGTGTGCGCAGCGGGTGCCGCCGGCTCTCCGTCCCTCCTCCGGCTCGCATCCACATCCATTCCGAGGCTCTTCACTTTCGCTGTAACGTCGACAGAAACACAGTCCTTTTCACCATCATTCTGCCAGGAATTTAAGCAGTATCAAGTGAAACCACTTGTAGTGGCCGGAGAGAAGGGTTCTGAGTGCATACGAGACTCTGGGTACATACATGCATGTATGTTCGGGTGTATTTATGTCCAGCCAGCAGCGAAATAGTTGCTGAAGTAGTGAGATAAAGTGATGATTTACATGGTGATAGTATGGACAAGTTATATTATCGTCATGGAATAGCCAGAGGCACTTTTTTTCCAGATGTTATCAATAAACCAGAGCGATATGTCGAAGCTGTTGGATGATAATTGTTGCGTGAGTTGTGTGAATGACGAGAAATCTCGCGGCTTCTTGTCATACTGCTTCGGACGCTTGCTCTTAGTTTTTCCTGTTTCTGTCCTGTTGTCCTTTGTGTAACAACTGAATGAGTACCGTCTCGCCGCCTGAACCTTTCGTCTCAACCTCTTTGAGCTGGCAGGTGAGCAAAGTTTCAGGTGTGCGAGCGGTCTCGTGCACTGTCTGATAATTCATGGTTTGTTACTGAGATATGTGCCAACGATTTTCATTTCTTTTCAGAGGGATACCGTTTTCCCGATTTTTTTCCCTTTTCCTTAGGAAAGCTTTCTCAAAATAAACTTGAGAATCGTGAGAACGCTTTGGTTCTTCACCATCGTTTTTATACTGAACCATTTTCAAATATTATGTTACAAGAATTTCTACAAGTTATTAGCATTCTAATCAACTCACAGAACAATTATTTTAAGGGCAATGTAAATGTGTTAAGATTGAATATTGCAGCCTGTCGTTGTGAACGAATGTCGTCCAACAGAGAAATTATTTGGAATCACACGACGTCTAGTTGAAGAGGTACTTATGATTCTTCATTTATTACTTAGTCTTTCAGAGGATTAAGCGCACTATTGAGTAATACTGGAACATCGTCCAAGATGCTTTACTAACAAATTCAGAAGTTGGCTAACAGTGTTTGTCAATTTCTCCATTCTGCGGCGAATTTTATGTATTCTGTTTCCGTTAAAGTATGGTTTTCATCGCTCGTATATTGAGAGACATAGATTTCATTTAAAGTGTATGACAGTTTAAAACACTAAACTGTTTTCCAGCCTTGAAGTAATTGTTAGTGAAGTCCATGTTCACTAGTTCAGCGAGTTTATGAATAGGACACTAAAGTGGCAGCACATCTTCAGATGGGGAAAAAGCGAAAATAATCAAATAAAGCGATATTTTTAGCAATTGAATGTTCGTACGTTGTCACATCAGCCTTCAAAAGGTTTTGAATTTACTTTATGACCTAATTTAGCCCCACTATTTTTCTTTAACAAATACGACTGAGATTTTTTTTTATACACTGGGGTAAATTTTAAGAGAACCTTGTCGTTGGTAATTTTCTAGAAATGAACTATTTCCTTCTTTATCCTCTTTCTGCGCCATTGCTTGCCGTTCATTGTTCATCTCATCCCGTGAAAGTCGGTTTGTTTATGAATAGGCATTAGTTTATGGAAATCAGCATCCACATATATATGTATATTTATTTATTTATATTCCGTATCGGTCTTGCTTGATATAACAGTTTATTTATAGCCTGTGTTTAGAGATGGTTGTGGAATTTTTGCATTTCCGATCTAAATGACAACTATTGCACTAATGCATTGAATATCCTCAGTACGGTATGGTCACGTTGTAAAAACAGAAAGAGGACAGACGAGAAAGTTCATATTGGGGAAAGAAAGTTAATATCTGGTGGTGAATGTGAAGTGCATATCATATTCTGTAGTTATTAGCTAACACTAATTTTTCAAGCTGTTGAATTCAACCGCTTGTCATCTATTTGTATATTAAGGGGAACGAAAATGTGGGGCATGTAATTGGTCAGACATTGTTTTGTACTAAACCAACTTTCACTTAACCTCGGCGTGAATAATCAATAAATCTCTTTGGATTGTTCAGCTTGCACGAGGTTGTTAAACAACTCTTATTCGGCTAACGTTTCGACATCTTCGTCTTGCTCAGAGCTGATGATCCGAGTCCATAGTCCACAGTCATTCGTTCGTAACAGACTGTGGATTTGGATCATCGGCTCTGAGGAAGACGAAAATGTGGAAACGTTATCCGAATAAAAGTTGTTTGGCAACCTCGTCTGAGTTAAACAGTCGAAACAAATTGATTGTTTTATGCTCAGAAAAGCAGTATTGGCATTTTTTGAAGCTTCTCTTCAGTACAAGAACAATTTGGTTATTTTCCAGTTTCTAAACTAATCAATCTCCATTAGTGGCTGGTGGCTGTATTCGCATCACTGGCTCGACTAATTGCTAGAGGATCTCATCGTTGTGGTGCTCGTCGTTGTGCATCATCGGTTTACATGCGTGAATCTGGCCGTGTTTCATGGTAGTCGTGAACAACACCAATATCATTATTGTTCCACCAATCCATAACTACGTTTACATGATCGTAATGTGTCGTGTGATTTGGCGAATATGTTGTCGGGGAATAAAGTAACTAGACAGAGTTCTACAAAAAAAAACATTTCGTCAGCGGTATTGTGGGATTTATACGTTCTTGTGGGATTTATACGTTCTTGTGCACATCCATTCAGTAGTAATTCCACTTTAATTGGTTCATTTGGACATGTAATTTGAGAAGAATTCTACATGTATATTATATTCTTGTTGAGCAAACGCGAGGTGTTGTTTTATTCTTTATTCAAGAACAAGTCGACGTTTCGGTGGATTTCGCCTTTCTCAAAACCTGGTGAGGTCATGTTAAACCTACATGTGTAGACTACAAAGTCCTTTGTAAGCAGTAGTGCAGTATAGTTTCTGTATTCCCACATCATTCGGTCGACATTACACAAGTGTACTTTTTTCTTATGAGCATACTGAGTTGATTATTCATGAAATTTTAGAGCCATATCCCGTCCCCACATTCCGCTAGTAAAGTGAGGGCTTTTCTTTCTCCTCTAAGTTTCGGTTTACATAGATCGTAAGATTCATATAAATGACTTTAGTTCTAAGACTTACATTGGATTAGCACAACCGTATCCTATAGATGGGATTGCACTAATGTCTAGTTTAGTCGTAAAGTAAATACAGTTTTTTTAAAATTAATTAGCCCTAAAACAATTAAAAAGCTCGCATTCGTCTTATAAGGTGAGCTCTCGATAACTTATCGCAGGCTGTTTACAACTCTAGTTCTCTAAATAAATGTGAATGAATATAATGCATAGTTGACGTAGCGTTCTGTGATTAATTGAATGTAGAAACGTCCTTAATTGGTAGATGGTCATCTGTATGGATGGCCTTTGGATCGAACAAATGCGTTGTTATGTCAAGTGTATATATGTGTTTATGTCTGATATATATGTATATATATATGTACATAGATATTAGTGTATATTCATTTATATGTATATATATATATATGTGAGGTGTTTAGTTAGGGCATATCTCTAAAGATAATGAGGGTGTGTGTGCGCTCGCGTGCATGTGCTGCGATGATGCATTGATCTGCTGTGGGTTGGCTGTGATGGTGGTGGTGGAGCGGGTTAATATCCTGAAATTGCCCTCTCATCGTTTGATGGAGATGACGACGACGACAACATCGATGACGGACGGATGGACGGAATGAAGACGACGGCGTCGTCGATGATGGTCGGACGGGCGGGTGATTGCCCCTATCAGTCGGCAATAACAGACGAGGTGACGCTACCAAAGAGGAGTTTTTTTTTCGTCGTAGACGATCCTGACTTCGTAACTCTCCAAAAAGACGTTAACGTAGCCAACCTCATCAACTGCGTCTGTGAAAATGGCGCTGGTAGGACTTATCTGATAGAATCGTATGATGCCTTTTTTAGTAATTTTCCACTTCTGGCAGGTATAAAACTCTTTAATAAGCGGAGCGGTAAAGTACATCAAAGTTAGACGATCGTTTACAAGTTCAGAAAGAAGAATGAAAAATCATGAAGGATTCGATTTGGAATCAATACGAGAAGAATTATTAACGAAGTTCATCGTCATGTGACATCAGTAAAGATAGTGATGATGTTTCCTTCCTTTGAAGCAGCGACTTGTCTTAAGCGCAATCGAACTTCAGCGATAATCCTTTGCGTGTAGAGATTCGGGAACGAATTGCAACATTCCATTGAGGGTTACCACACATTATTGAATGAGATCGAAACGTTTGCCTTCTGGACTGAATACCCCACACCTCAACGTAATTTCTAATAGTGTTTATCCGCTTGTAGGTTCTAGTAACAGTGACGTCTACCAGAGGACTTCATTTCGATTTTGCAGTAGTTAACGTTCTATTTTGCTACTCCTTGGTCCGTTTCAATCTAAGCAAGGGGTTTTTCATACTGCACTGTTTCTTCTGTTGCTTCGTTTCTGAGGCTTTCTGTTCTCATGATCGGGGAAATCGCCAGTCACTGACTTTTCTCATGACTCATTTTCGTTCTGAGCATTTAACAACAAACAATATTGATGTGATGAAACGTAGTGTAAGGATCGTATATAGATGTTCTCTTTCCCTTTCTACCTTACTATTGGTGATATTTTCAGTTTGATTTTTATAATTACTTGCAAGAACTGTGTAAAAATAACTCCTTACTCTTATTGAGATTGAAGGTTCTGTTGTTGGGGCCAACTAGTGGTATCCGATTAAGGTAGAATGTTTTGTGAAATTAATCGCATTCGAAGAAAGAACGGTTGATTTCAGCTGTCGCAGAAGGACATCGATTGCCTCTACCGCCAGTTACGAGTCACTAAAGAGAGTCACAACGTGCGCGTGGTATTTGTGAAGGGGACCGACGACATGACTCGATACGATGTTGAAAAGTGTTTCACATTTCCTATTTTCAGTAGGGTAAACTCGGATTACAAAAATTCAGTATTAAAGAGACTGGATGAAAACGAGGAGATTAGTATTCGTTTCATTTACTGCTATCAAAAAAGCACTGAAATTGAGGTGCAAGCAACTTTAAGTTACTCATTTAGCCGTGAAAAGCTTCGGTTATTATGGTTGAGCGATAACCGGTAAGAGTGTGTGAGCAAAGAGGCCGTAGAAGAATAAGCAGCTCACTAGTGAGGCTTACTTAAAGCTGTTGGACCTGGGGGTTTCATTAATCATTCAAGAATTAAGTCGGGTATGTCAACTACACATGATAGACTCATGATGGAGTTACCTATAGATGATGAAAGTCGATAACTTTCTATATGAGTGCTTATATTATTAATACAACAAAAGCTATTTCAATTCGGCAACTTCTGAATTCGTAGTTTCCGTGTTTGTCGTATGCGGAAACTTTTTATTGTCTAGTTGCTGCAGTGTTCAAGTTCTGCACAATCGTATGGAGACAGTACGTTACATATATGGGAGCATTGATATCATCTCTAAAACACACCTCAATCTTCGTTCCCTTAACTAGACTAAGAATGAAATCTGTCGCTGGAATTCTGAACGGGGCCGAGGAGAGTTCTCTATAATCGACTTTGCATTGGCACAGAATGCAAGTGGGTTTGTTAGCGGTAACGTGTGCGAATGCTGTGAGATAGATTTTTCGAATGTCAGACAAATTCACACGTCATGTAGTGATCCTTTTTCCTTCTGGCAACTCGAGTTTTAGAGCTAGGAATCATTTCTTTACAGAGTTGTTGACATTCAACACGTTGTATTTCAGCTCGCTCGGAACGTTTTTTATATCTGATTCGGGAATGCAGGTGCTCATAAAAGGGGGAACCCAACAGCAACACGATCGGAGAATCAGTGAAAACATTTTAAGCCTCCTGAAATCCGAGGTCTAACATTCATTGTAGAGAACCATCATGGATCAGTCTCTTGGATTTTTTAATCCGTGCACTCGCTTTTCAATCTACCTAGCGGACTTTCTCACTCACTTTACATTTGCTGGGGATGAAAAATCACCTCGAATTTAGTTGTAAATTAGTGCGACAGTAGAAAACATGTGCACTTAGGTCCTAAGCTCGGGGAATATTAACGTTTATTGTTTTTCTTACAATTAAAACATTCAAACGGCTAGAACTGAGCTAGAAGTATTTTTTTTCACGTTTAGAAGTTTTATTCATATCTGTAGAAAGTTTGAGCCAGACACTCAATTACAATATGTTGAAATGAAATTCTTCGCTAGTTTCTGCTAGTTTAGGATTTTTGCTGAGTATCATCCTTGTCGTGTGGAAATTATCGACAAGACCTCTTGTCTAATGAGTTTTGCCAGTCGTGCCGATTGTGTACGAGTAAGTGAAACCGACTTCTTTTTGTATTTTCAAGTTCTTTGTTATTACTTTACTTCGTTTTACTGCAGGTTTCCTATTGAGTAGGATAGACTTCGAAAAATGCTGCGTTTACCATCTTTGCTACTTCATTTTATTCCTATTATAAGGAATGTTAGTAAGGCATGTTCTCATCAAGTTATATTACTTTTAAGAGTAAAAAATGCATGTCAGTCTAAAGCGTTGAAGAAAAATCGAGTGTACTCAGTTTGAATTATTATAAACTATGAAGGAAAAAACTGGTCAAGTTCGAAGACTTTGCTACTAGAAGTGGACAATAGGTTGTAAGCTCAAATACGTCGCAATAAAAGCGGTGAAAACACCCGACTGGCTGGAGATGGATCTCATGCCCCCTAGTTAGGGAGATACATTTAGTACTCATATATGATGGTAGGAGGTGACTAAACGCCGGCCAAAAACGACCCTGCACTTGACTTGAGACGCAGATGAATTCGGAAGATGTATTTATACCCTCTCTCACTTCACTTCAGCGCCGAATTCACTTCAGCTTTAGATAATGGTTCCGGCAAAAGTCCATAATCAAGTGGCAAGGGAGTGAAATTTGGAGTCACTTGCAGCAAATAAGCTCCCCATATGCTCTTAAAGGCTTAACAAGCTGTCTGTAAGTACATAGAGCCCACATAGCAACAGCCGACGGCCAACCATGACTGCTGTGTCGTCAAAAAACGTCGAGGGTCTCATTTGATGAAATGTGGTTCGTTCGCGTCTCTTAAGTGGTACGAGCCCATTTAGCAGCTCTGACATGTCATTAATGCTTAGGGTCCGAAGCTGGCTTTTCGCACTCTGCTGATAATCTCGATAACTAAAATAATTAAAGAGTTGAAAACTTAACTGAAGTTTAAATGATACTTCTTTCGGACTGATTACGACTAGATCTAGATGATTAAAAGAGTCGTTTTACGTTTAAAGTTATTTTGAACTAAAATTTCCGAGAGGGATGAAAACGAAATTTGAGTTTTTTAAAATTCTAAACGAAACGGCAGTAGCAACAAACGTTAACAACGTATTTGAGAACATCGTCGTGTTCTGATAGACGAAATAGAGCTTGTTCAATTATTTTCATTTTCGAAATACGTGCCTCAATTTTCGCACCGTATGAGTGGAAATGAACTCTTTTCTGACCCCAAGGGTTGAAGAAATTGCAGTTGATAGTGATTTAGGGGAACTTGAAAGCTCCTACTTTTATGCATTGTTTTTAGTTTCTTCCGTCTACTGATTTTTCGTAATTGAAATGTCCACAAAATGTGACTGATGTTCTAGATAGTCCTTCACAGGCGGTGGATAGCGCACTTGTAGTGATGTCCGTCATCGCGAGCATGGTGGTAGTTCGATTCCGCTGCGGACCAACCGAGCCTCTTATCCCCCGGGGTCGAAAGTCTGGTACCGTACTTGTCTGGAGAAGAATCACTCTTTGCAATCCAATTGGGAACGCTCCAGCCCGACTATCCTAGGACTCTAGGGAGGATTACTCGACCAGCATTCTACGACATTCATGATGAAGTGAAAATGATCCGCACAATGGACGTGAAGACAGGTCATAGAAAAACAGGAATAAAAAAAGCTCTTGACTGTGATATATCTTGTGTATTTTCTTAATTTTTTTATTCGTTACAATGTGCCGAAACTGGTATAGAAGTGTAATCGCAAAAATGGTTTCTTAAAATGGATTTCCAGGGATCGCATTCGGAAAAAAAGTGTTCTTCTTTTCATCCCAAAATTATCTTCATGCCATTGGCGCTGAAGTGTATTGTTTCTGCAAACCGTTCTCGCATGCTTTTAAAGAAGACAAAAGAAGAATTGTGATCCTAAAACAAAATTGTCGTTGACGGACGGTTTCGACGATTAAGTAATAATTAATGAAATAAAAATGATGAAAAGATGCAGCTGCAACTAGGTACCGTAAAGTCCAAGCTTGGTTGCAATTGCAGTTTTCCATCTTCACTTTTATGTTATTAATTCTTAGTTGATTGGGACCGTCTTCCAACGACGGTTTTGTTTTAGGATCACAATCTTTCTTTTATCTTCTTTCATGTTCGCCTTTTAGCTATTTCTAGACTGGTAGAGCGCGGATGATATTCTGTCGATCTCATTACGTAGTACTTGCTTTGGTTCGCCATAAATGAGACCTATTTATTATTCTACTGAATCACAGATGATGATTGGAATGACAAAACCTCTTCGACGTTTTCGTGCAACGAGAGAGGCCGAGGATGGTGAATTAACGGACTCTGATGGGGAAGAAGAAGAAGGTCAGATTAAACTCGAAAAAGGAGATGATGTAGCATTGGTCGCTCATGCCGGTTCGTTTCTATGGATTTTACGTTTTCTGGTTCTGATTTATTGGTTTGTATCGTTTGAATTTCTCGAATCCAGTAGGTTTTCACCTCGTTTTATCGTGTCTTGACAGTCGCTTTGAGCGTTCTAAAGAAACATACCGCTTCTAAAATGATTATTTTCAAACGGGAAGTTATGCCTGATGCATGCAGAATGATGGACAATGCGTTGTTTGTTTATAGGGTTCATTGTATCACAAACATACCATTACTGGTAGTGGTAGTGATAGTGGTCGTTGCAATAAAATTCTAACAACAGACAGGTTTCAATGTTGTGTATACGTTGTCTATAAATTATTTTAGTTAACTTCTTGCTTGTATAGGATTTCTAAACCTGTCTTAAAATCCATAGGACTATAATCTTTTCATCTTTATTTCCATTCATTCATTTCTTCTTTATTGTTTCTACACAATATATAGAACACCCGTCAACATATATAGGTAGTTTTAACATTTTTAGCGTCACATTGACAAAAATATTTCCTCATAATGCATTTATAGCTTGTATTTAAAGGACTTTTATTTTGCATCTTTGTAGTTTTTGAACTTTTTAAACTGTTGAATCCATAGTGGTGATGAAATGGCCATATCATTTCACATTTTTATTGTTATGAGCATGAAATATGATGGAATATGACCAGAATACGTTGACAGTGTCGGGATCTAACGCGAATAATTGCTCGTAAAACTGACGTTTCGTGAAGTTGGTTTCCGTTGTCATTCATATCGGCCCATGTGAATCGATGTTGTTGACGAACTTTCTGGTATCTTGTAAAGTAGTTTCCTGCGTTTTGTAATACTTGAACGAGTCGTCACACCGGTCTGTGTCTCCTGAAAAAACTTTTGTCGATCACTCTCTTCTCAACCACTCTGAGAAAAATTGAGTAATCAAGACGAACACGAACTGTGTGAGTTTGGGAAGCTCTCGAATTAATGTGAATTTTCATATCAATCCTTTTTTTTCAATGAGGATCTTTTCATAATGAGGAATCAGGTTTTGCTCAATTTCAGTCGAACATTATTTCTTCGGAGATATATTCTTCTTTTTCTGCTATTCAGGTCCTAAGAAGAAATTTCTGACTAGGATTTGTCATCCTAATGGCTTTAGTGGAAACGTAGCTAAAGCGAGAGTTCTAATCTAAGCGAGAGCTGGGTTTTTTCTGCAACTATCATCTATGTGTATTCTTTCTTGATAAGCTTGCACGAGGTTGATAAATTTTTTTATCAACCTCGTGCAAGCTTATCAAGAAAAAATACATATTGATTAGTCTAGTCACACCGAGGTTTAGAGAAAGTCGGTTTCGAAATATTATTACTATCATCTATTTCATCTCAGCTTCAAAAGCGAAGTTGGCGTATGGCGTAAAGTGGTCGGAAGGGTTTATACAGATTATGAGAATTGGGCCAACTACGCTAGTGCAAATCCTGAGTGTGAATATCCGCTGAGATTCGAGCTCGAAGCAAAAATGCTGCTCTTTTGCAAGATTATGACTGAGAATCATAAGAACCACTGTCCTAGTTCAGTTCAGAGCTGGTCGTTATGGTGATGACGAATCACTTGTCGAGCAATAGAGGTCTGCTATTTAAACAGCTGGGCCGTATGGATGCTCAGAAGTTCCGAACTGCAATGAAAACCGAGCGCTCGGTGAAAGCGGATAACCGGGATGGAAAGTTCCTCAGTTTTTCTAATTGGGGCTTTCTAAAAGTGAGGTTTCTTTATGGTCATACTGAAGCCCTTTGATTCGAACACGTCTGGTGATGGGTGACGATTAAGGGGCACATTCCATATATACTGACATATGTTTGTGTTAGATTTAGTTGGACAGCTGCCCCACATGTCGGCGGAGTTGGAAGTCATCGAAGTCATTTGTGGAAAAACGTGCATGTGATTAAATTGTTTTCAAAATAAATTCGCTCCTTATTCTCCAAATTCAAATCAGCTTATCCCATAGTTTGTAGCAACTTTATTAACGGGACTGAAAAACCCTTAGAATCTTCACGTTTTCGCCACATGGTGCCGTTTATTTATCCTATTTATTCCGTATTGTTAAAGTCGCCATCTTCTTTAACCCAGGGTTTTTCTTGGTAAAATTTTCATTAATGGCTTGGTTGGCGAAAGTTTTTCAGCAAGAATTTGTTGACTTTTTTGAAAAAGTGGTAGTAGCTCGCGGAAAGGGGATTAGTTGAGTATGGTAGGATAAATAGTGTTTGTGTCCCAATTCTTTCACATTTTGCGGTTTTCGTTATGCAATATATGGAGCTTTGTCTCTCAACAAAAGTGGTCGCTTTTGATCAAATCATAAATGCCGGTTACAGGTATTGGACGTTCTGGAGGATCGGTTTTATATCCTGAATACTTTCTGCTGTAATGATTTTTCCAGGATTCACGTAATGGCGCGTGATTCCATTTGTCGAATACAATGGGTCATTACAGTCTTTTTTAATGGCAAATTCGGCTTGGAAACTGTTCCGGCACTTTATCTTTGTTCAATCGTTGTCCATAACGCCGTCAGTTTTCGAATAGAATCTATTTTTCCTCGCAAGTTATGGTGCAATCAAGAAATAGTTCGTTCTCATAGCGGGACGACAGTCGAAAACAAATTTCATAACGTCGATATTCTTGTTTCTTTTTGCATATGGGATCCCGTTCTCTCTTTCTTTTTTGAGATTTCAGTTTAGTGGAGGATTTTCGAAACTATTTTTTATCTGCATTTGATTTTTCCACAAATTATGAAGCAGTTCTGCTCATGTGCCCATCACTTAGCATCAAGTGCAAGTCATTGTCGATTGCAACACATTCTCTGTGGCAGTCCTCATCTTTAAGGTTACCATCTCCACCACAAAATTTGCCGAACCGATACTCGGTGCTGAACGATGTATACAAAATGACGTCCAGGTTTGAATTCTCTTATTCCATCTCTATTCAAATGGCCCAGAGTGAACATAAATCGTGAATGGTCACACGACTATAGGATATCAGTTGTGGTTCGTTACTTCTGCAGAACACTTTCCATATCCACTAGATTCCTCAAGAAAATCCGAGTGTGTTAACCAAAAGATCTGTGATAGGATAGTATTTTTTCATCAAAACTCAGTCGTTTTGTTGCTTATCATGTAAGAAGTGCAACATCATTCATAATATCTGTCTTTTACAAAATGACACTAACATAGCCTGCAAAATTCGCGGAGAGTTTGCTTAGAGTACTGTTCTTTCTCTATGATTGTTATGAAATGTAGGTGCACCTCAGTGTCGTACAGAGTGTGCCACTTCAGTCGTCGCCCACGATATTAATAATCCACTTCCTGCGATTCGGGACACCGTGAATTGTCTTCCGCTCGACCTCTACTGGGATGGAATCGCAGTCGCTCTCGGCACACACATTTCTTGAGGGATGCGACTATGTGGATACGTTTGTGTCCAAATCTGTGCACAATTATTACCATGTTGTTCGCTGCGTCGCCTCTATACATGCGGAGGGGAGGTACATGGCATTGTATTGTTGAAGGTTGCATTGTTCGACCTTTCAAGTCCATAGTCTACATATTTGTTGGTTCGGTTCAGATCCGGTCCTTACATGACGAGAGCATCAACTATGTATTATAACGGGATCACTAGTAACTTAATGAACTGCCGATATTTTACCAATTTCGATGAAACCTTTAAAGATTTTGCTAGATTTATAGATGGGGAGGGAATTAAGAGCAAAAATGCTTCTAATAAACGAAACATGAGCAATTTCGCATAATTTTAAGTTCCTGGAAGATATCAAAAGGAGAAAGAGAAAATTCAGTGAGGTGGCATTTATTCACAGAGTTAATTTTGTTTAGTGACTAATTATTGATTTTGTTGGCAACTTTCACATTTTTTGTGGGAGGGGTTTGGTTAGTGGTGCACTTAACCGGGAAACAAGGCGCTACTGATTCGAGTCTCTTCCCAACGCTCTACTCGAATTCATTTGGGAGCACCTTAGCTCGGAGCTCGGCTATCGCTAGGCTTGCAAAGAGAATCGTGTTGACTGGCATTCAACGGCTTTCAAAGAAAAGACGAATTCTTCAAGCAGCAGCCGTAGCAACACGCGAAATGTTCGAAGACCTTTTCGGATGATGAATCCGAGGGAGACGAGTCGAATGCAAGAAATGCTGTGATCCGCACAGTAGATCTCGTGACGGGTCACGTAAAATAAAAAAGCAAGTGTGCAATTTTTCCGATTTTTGTGGAAGCACTGTTCAAACCCTTTTTGACTTACTTCAAAAGTATAATGACATAATTATTTGGAAATCAAATAATTTTGTGGTCACATTTTCCAATTCTTGGGCGCGTGTGGCGCAGTGGTCGAAGGCGCCCTGCAACTCTCACGTGGAATCGATCCTCGCGTCCCGGGCTCACCAAGCCTTCCATCTCTCCGGGATCGGCACATTGTTACCAGACTTGTCTGTAAGGATAGCAGCACTGGCTCGATACATCGATTAGCCACGTCGAGTCATCGTAAAGGGTAGATATGCGTCCAATCGCTTCCAACAATGCTTAATGAAGTCGAATGCATGGCACATCCCTCAGAGATTGATCAACGCCGAGAGCTGTATCCTTTTATCATTTATTTTTCAATTCCTAGCTGTTTTTGGATCTTAACGGAGAGAGTTTTTGTCAAGTGAAATAAAGAAATCAGATAAAGTCTGAAATAATAATGATTGTTTAATAAGAAACAAATGATGAGTGGACATCGTTTATTCTCGGAATTGAGACTTGATATCATCTAAATGGTTTTACATTCAGGGCAGATTTAATTAATGACACAAAATTAAGGCTAGCCTTTTTTTGTTTACTTTTTTCCATTAGCCAAAGAAATAATTTGTAATTTTCGGTCAATTTTACCTTATGCGTTGGGCTCACCGTCTATTTCATTTTAATCCAGCTTGGAATGACAATTGTGGTTAAAAGCAAATGAGAGGTAGTTATCGGTATTTCGAACAATTTAATGGTCTGGACGCTTATAGCACGTTTTAGTGGGTATACCCGAATATATGCTTACCTGAAGCTTTTTTACTTTTACTTCTATCAAAATAATGTAAGGAGAAATTTTGTTCACATCTCGAAGTCTCAGAGTCAACAAATGTTTCCGTCTTTCTGAATGGTAGTGGTGTCAATTTCTTTTCTCTCATCGCTATCTTGGAGAAACCTCACAAAGAGTTGTGATTGGCGGGTGTTTGCAGAACAGATCGGATATGAGCACGAAAGTCAATCGCAATCGAACAATGGGAATGCGAAGAGTTGGCGTACGTGGGAGCAGCACATATGAGGGAGAGTACGAGGTGAGTGGCCAATATCGGTCACCTCACATGTCTGTGCTTCATGTACGGCCGACAGACGAAAACGCTCCTATTCTCCATGAGAAGCTTGAAGTGCTCTAGGTCACGATGTAATGAGAAGAACGGAAACTATTCTACGTTGTATTATATTATATAGTCGGATATTTTTTTATTTCTACAATATTTAATAGTTCCCTTTGTTTGAATTCAATTAAAGGAAACACTTACGTTGACTAGTTCGTTGGGTCTAAGATTGGATCATTCTTAGGACTGAAATTTAGAATATTTAAACAACCTCATTTAATGGGAAACATGGAATCATACGGTGTAATCCTTTCTATATGGTAAATCCATTATGCTGTGGTATTTCTGAGAGAACGTGAAGATTTAGCTCTCCAATCGACTAGATATGCAGGAAGCACCTGTTGAAAAGAGGCCTATCAGGAAATATTTCTGATATTTAGGTGGTGTTAAAGCATAAATTTTTAATGTGGCGTTTAATATAACTCGTAAATCTTTTCGGACTTCGTCCATGTTCAATGCATGTTTTAACAGAATGTGGACAGTATTTCACGAACACATGCGCTTTTATGGATCTGTATGAGCCATGTGCACCGTGAAATATGGCTCATATCTTTTCCATTCATTTTCACGTCGTTTTTAAATGACATAAACGTTATGGTCAGAAATAATATTCTATACACCTTATAATTTACACTTTTTTGATGGTTATGTTGAAATTGCATGAACCGAAATACTTCCTTTACTCGCACTATCTAGTGTTGATTGTCTGGCCGTGTATTATAGCAGTTCTGGGGTTACTGTCTTCTCATAATAAGCAGGATAAGGTTTCCTGATGAGCTGGTCTCTTCCACTGTATCGCAATGTAGGGCATTAGATACTTTATCCAGCACTTATCTAAAATGAGTGTCTAATTAGTCATTCAGCACCGTTCACATTCTAAAATTGTTCTTCTTTACTAGTAAAATCCGTTCGTTCTAGTTGTTAATGGCTTTCGAAGAAGTGTTTTTTTTTCGTTAATATGTGGAATATCCAACATTAAGTAAACGTTAAAAGTTATGCGTTGAAGTTGACATGCCCAGTCACTGCAATATAACGTGAAGAGGAGGCATCTCGTAGAGTAGATGTGAAGAGGTGAAAGGTGCTAGAAAGCACCTCTCACCTTTCAGTGATGTATTGTACATCGTACCTGAACAAATACACACAGAGACTCAAAGAGAAAGCGATACAAAGAGCCGGAGTCTTCAGGGGTCGACGACCGCCGGTCGCCCTAACTTTAGAACATTTTCTATCCCCACTGTGACACTTGTAAGAGTTTAGCGAACGACTATATTTCGCTCTATAGTCGAACAAAGGTTGAAATATTCGAGAAATAATAGTTATCATTCTGGTTATCCAAATACTTAATTTAAAGTTTCGACAAAGAGCATTGTAGGACACTTATTTAGTAGCGTAGCACTTAAATATGATAATTCTGAGGTTGGGCTGTTGAAATCCGTGCTATGAAAGAAGAAATGTCATGGATTTTTTGAAAGTTTTCTTTCATTGTAATAAAACTCCAGGAGATTATACCAGCTGTTTTTTCACCACGTATTATTTTGTAGGGGTTTATGTTCATGCACAGCCACTAAATGGTCCAAATTTATGTTGCTCTTTTTCTGATGTCATTCGAGCTACCGGACTTGTTTCATCATCGTCCAGCCGTCTTTCCGAAGTTGTTCGTCGAGGTCGTTCTGATTTTTTCGAGATGCACTTCAATGTTCTTCTCGTCCACTTGTCGTCCTCGTTGCTCATTATATGGCCGACCTATCGTTGTTTATTTTGCGAGAGATATTTGTCTGAGTTTTCACTAGATACTCTTCAAACGTTTAAAAAACTAAAACTGGCTTGGTGTTGATCGTGCCGGTTCATCTTCATAACAGATTGAACAAGACCCTTATCTGTTGTGCACAACTTTTTCGATATGACTGTAGTAGTGATATATGTTTTGCTTAGTACATGACTGCAAGTAATGTTGCCGTATATCAAATAAGTGAGCAGCGTGCAAGTTGGTATCAACAATTTCGTCAGTGGTCTTTTTAGAGACCTTAGTGCCGCCTGCGCTTCTCGTTGTCTTCTTCTCAGCTTTTCTCTCTAGTCATCCATATTCTTTTGATGCTCTAGCTACAGGCATGGTATGTTTTTTGCCAATCGGTTTCCTCTCTCAATTTATTTGTTCTCCTTAACTCACTCCTTTCAGGAAATGTTTTTCCCCAGGTGATTCATAGTCCATTCTTTTTTTCCTGTTTCACTTGGCTTGGTAAGCAATGTCCTTATTTCTGCTATGCTCTCCGCGACATATCACACTGTCATCAGCACGAGGCAGTTTAGAAAGCAGTTCTGCATAAACAAATCTCCTTTACTCGTCACGATTGAGTGACTGCAACTGTTATTTGTAGGAAAACGCTTTTGGCAATACACATTCGCTTTGTGGCGCTCCTTTTTAGCTGGAATAATGAATGAATCGGTGAAAAACTGTTGTCATGGTGCACTGACGGTTCTGTCGAGCAAGCGTTTGAAATTATTTCCAGTAGACGTAAAGATTTCTCTGAGTCCTGATTAAGTGCTTGGATACTACTGTCTTGCTTTACAAGAAGTGCCTCTATTTCTCAAGGTAATTTGAACTGGAAATAAAGTAACACCATGCTGCTCCTTCACAGCTCCAAATATGCGCCAGCACTGAGTCGATCCCAATAACTTCACCGGGCATCGATTTTTTTTGGGAAACCAATAAGGAGTGATCCTGCAACACCTGTGGTTTAGATGTGATTCATATAGGGGAATTCTACATGCTTAATTTGAAGTACTCCATCCAAATTCTTTCGTATATCCGCCATCTGTCAAAAGGAGCACGAAGAGGCGTATTCAAGTAGAAATTTGGACTACTTTATGATGCTTCGGTGATCGTTCTTTGTTGGAGGAATAACCGTGCTCGAAGTCCTGTACTATTCTGTTATTCGTGACGGTATGCTGTGACTTAGGTGTGGATTGAAAAGTTTTGTAGTTCGTGGCGTCCAACTGGACTTTAGTGTACCATAATACTAGAGGTTAGCGTCTCTTCATATTTTTAACAGCATCTCGAACTTCGGAGAAGGTAATCTTGGTTAGTTCCTCTCCGACGAGGAGTTTTTTAAGAACTCGGATTCAAAGTATCGTTTTGAGATGGTGATGGTTTGAACTTTTAATTCATTTCGGTATTTCCAATTTATTTTTGTCATAACAGCATATCTTCGGGGAAATATTCGAAGGAGAGGCGCGCTTCCTAGATAGTCATTTATCTCTTTTGTAATCTCAGTTCATAGAACTGACATCCAATTAATCTTCGTGTTTGCCAGCGGCAGATGGACAATGAGCTTTTGTAACATTGAATGAAATTCGATCCCGAAATCGTTTACATGGAAATGGATAAGCAGCTATGCACTCGAAGCGCTTCAGCATTGTTTGCTTTTCAAACTGAAATGAAGTAAATCATGAAAAAGCCTTAAATATCCTGAAACATTAATAAGGTCGTCTTTTACGCGTTCCGAATTACATAATTCATACAGCTTAGACATGTTTTATAGCATTGTGTGGAAGATTGCTGAGTAAAAAAAACATCGTGGCAGTTTCATTTGAATACATGTGAAGAATGGATTCACGAGATGAATCGCGAATGTCAGGAAAGGCATTTAGAGTGAACTGCACTCTTCAATGTTCTGAAAAAGCATACAATAATATTAATAAAGTTGCATAGATGTAATGAAGATAAATAAAACTCTCAGCGTTGATCAATCCTTGAGAGATGTGCCATGCATTTGACTTCATTAAGCATCGTTGGAGGTGATTGAATGCATATCTGGCCTTTGCAACGACTCGCGGTGGCCTACTAATGTATCGAGCCAGTGCTATTGTCCTCCCAAACAAATAATTTACCGGCCCGGGAGGGATGAAAAGCAGGTGAGCCACGGACTCTGGGATCGATACCACGTGCGCGTTGTAGGGCGCCTTCGACCACGACCACTGCGCCATACGCGCCCTTTGAAATGAATGAAGAAATAAGAGTTATGATTCACTTTGCAATATTGTTATTATTTATTTCTGTTTTTATTATTGTTGTTATCGCGGGGTATGCAATTTCCGATGTCAGATGGATAGGTTGGTTGGTAGACCTGAGTATGGGATCGAACAAAGGACCACGTACATGAAAGGGCATCTTCAGGCATTGTGCTTAACGCGTTCTACAATACTTTTAATGGCGAAAATCTGCATGTATTTCGTCTACACAACCATTATTGATAGATTAGTGTTCGACGGCTACATACATGAAAGCTTATGTATGTATGCTTACAGGCGTATGCATATGTGTACATGCCGGCTATGTCCGTATACATGACAGCCACAAGCTGGATAAACAGATTTGCATATACTGATCTTCTAGGGTTTATTCAGTTAATATATGGTATAGTAATGCAAGTGTGCAATCCAAAAAACGATGTGTTGATGAATTGGAATGTTTTGCAGCGCAGTGGTTGGGGATGCTCTGTGATCGACGCATGGTTATTGGTTCGATTCCTCAATCCGTTCTAAACAACCTCCCTTCCATAATAGGTTGAAGATTTGGCACCAGACCTCTTTGGGACGCCTGTCCAAGCTATGACACAGGCCAAATTTGCAATCATTTCTACTATGCTGCGGATGAAGTCGAATGCATTGTGTATTCCTAAAGTAGTGATCGAAATCGAGCACTTCAATGCTCGTATTAATAAATCATCTTGGTAGAAAGCCAACTTTATTGTTAAAGCTGCAGATCCTTTTTATCAAAGTAAAAAAATTTGTTTATTATGTCTTAACTATCATTTACTACCTATTCTTTTTTCATGGCAGAACACAACGTGAAGTACAGTCATGTTAATTCTTTGCGTAATTGGTAATGCTGTGATACAGTACTAAAGGAAGCATCAATGAGATTAATCCTACAATACTGACTTTTTATTTGCTGCCTACTCCATTTTTTTAAGGCAGGTTATTATACGAAATGCAACCATAATGGTGCTGAGATATTTGTAAAACTCCAAACTGCAGGTGTCCGCGGTGGGAAACGAACGCACTATTACCTTTTCCGGGAGCTAACGCGTTTACCACTACACCATGCGATAGAACTAGCTGAGAGACAGGCAAAATCAAGATTAATTTTATTCCAAAATGCCGCAGATATGCTACAGCTCAATGAACATGAAATTATGCTAACTTCGGTGCGAAATAAAACTGTTTACAGTACTCTTCAGGTGATAATCCAAAGCGAATTCAGGAAGATTTTGTAGAAGTGGACGTAGATGTCATTGATATTCCGCCAGGTAGGTGTTTTTCCTGAAGATGTTCGGTTGCAAGAGGTCAGAACTTGTTTTTTATTAATAAAACGTTTGTAATTCTTTTGTATTCTACAAAAGGTCGATGGCGAGTAGTAACATCTCATGTTCCTGAGCGTCGTTTCATGATCGTCAAATTTGCAACAAATGAAGAAATCTCGGTGAGATCGTTTTCGTTACTGAACACCCTGAAGAGAATAGTGTTTCTGTAAGTGGTCTCTTAGAATTCTATAGGCCACTAGCGTTTTCACTGCTCATTTTTTGTCACGTTAACCTTAATTTTCCAATTTTCATCTATAGGAGGCTCGAAAACTCATTTCTAGCAATGAAAATGATGGTAGTCGCAAAAGAAGAAAAGAAGTGGATGACCAAGGTAATTTCTTGGTACAATTATCATGGAGAAGCGAAATAGCGATTTCCGATCTTTTTAGATAAATATAGTAGTGTTTGACAGGTTTTACATATTTATGGTCGTCAAAGGAGAAGGTACGGCCTGGTTTAAATGTTTTCGACGAAAAAGGCAACGAGCTGGAATGGGATTATGAACATGACACACGGTGAGATTGAAAATGTTCTGAAGAGATTGTTTTCGAGACTTCTTTTTTTCAATTTTATGTCATAGACCCGCGTTCCACACTCGTTTCCTCGCATCGATCAACCACGAAGATCTTCCAGCTTTTTACGTGTGGCTTCGCCTGCTGCTTTAGGATTTTCTTTTCGTTATGAATGTCGTACAATGCTGATCAAGTCGATTCTCCCTGGAGTGTTGAGATAGCCGGACTCTAGCGTCCTACTTGTGTTGCAGAGAGTGATTTTTTTTCCCGGACAAGTTCGGTACCAATTTTCCGACTTCGGAGAAATGAGAGGCTTGCTTAACTTTGAGTGCGATTGAACCAGCACCGTGGTCGTGATGATCGGCGTCACTACCACTGTGTTGTACACCCCTCTCACTGTTTTGAGACCATTTAAAAAATAAAGTGAGCAACGTGGGGTGCTAAATGCGGAAATTGTCGTTTAAATACTTTTTAATGAGTGTTTTATATTGGAATTTAGTTCCGTGAAGAACGTCTTTCTATATTTTTTTACTACCGTACTAAAATGCAGGCCACTAAAGACAACATTTTTCTATTTCTGCCGTTCGACGACCAACAGCTGTGTTTAATATAGTGTCAAAGCTCGTCTATACACGAAGACCACATCCAAAATGTTGATTGATTGACATTTCGAAAAATGAACATCGATTTCTACTTCCTACGACAGCTAAGGCGCTTGTGGCGCAGTGGTCGGAGGCACCCTGCAACATACATGCGGAATCGATTGCGGCGCCCTTGGCCCGCAAAGCCTTCTATCCCTCCGGGGTTGGAAAATCGGTACCAAACTTATCTGGGAGGATAGCGGCACTGTCTCGATACATTGATAAGCTACCGAGAGTCATTGTAAAGGCCAAATATGCATTCAATCACCGCCAAACAATGCTTAGTGAAGTCGAATGCATGGCGCAACGTTCACGGATTGATCAACGCCGAGAGCTTCATCCTTTTATTTTACGATAACTAGTTTAAATCCTACTGGTTAGAAATACAAAGCTTTTGCAATATATTAGAAAACTGTATCAGTAATATTTGAATATAGCACGTGACTTGCGGAATCGCAAAACTACAGATGTTGTAGAAAATTTAAATTCTAGTAAATGCGTTAGTGTCTTTAAATGTTTAAAGGGAGGGTGTGTAACCCAGTTACTAAGGCAGTCCTGCAATACACAGGTTGTTGCTTCGATCCCATACGATAAGACAAGCTAGCCAACCAAGTCTCCTATCCTTCCAGAGTAGGCGAATGAATATGAGGCTTATCAGGGAGGACAGGAAACATGCATTAACAGGCCACAGTATACCATTGAAGATCCAACATGCATTCAGTTACCTCTACGATGCTCATTGGACTCACATACATAGCGTATCACTCAGGGATTGATCGTTGGACGTCTAGTCATTTATCTTGAAGGATGATAAGTTTAACTCTTGTTAATTTGGAAAAGCATAGCGGAGAAGTGTATTGGTAGGATTTGATCAACAGGCCATTGGAGGAATCATTAAGCTAATTATGTGTCGAGAAACTGAAGATTTTAAGTAAACAGTAGTGTTATGTGACGTTTGCAGATTCTATGAATATGATGAGCCTAACGTTCTTCAAAATAACTCCGGCGATAAAAAACAAGACCACACTTCTTCAGGTGCGCCTCAAGCAAAAGTTGTTAGGGTAAGTGTTATTTGAAGATCTTCTTTCCGAGTTTTAACTTACTTAAATACTAAGATGCCATTGAATGCTGCTTACTTCCCATATATTTCAAGGTCCACTAGTCCATCCAAACCACGTAGCTATTGCATCAACGGAAAATGAATTCACACTTCTAATCCTAACATCCTAAGATATGACCAAAACTCGGAATCTCAGTTGAGCTTCGAATCTGCGATTACTTTTACCAAGAGCTCACGTGCTATCCACCACATCAGTCGAGGCCATTGCTTTGCCTTTTTCTCTCAGCTATGTTTTTGCTCTATCGGTGTTCTCAGCAATCACCCGTCAACGGGAGTGATCTTAACATACTTAACCATTGAGGTGATCCACATTATTTTAAACGGAATGTCCACAGCAGTTGTTTTTTCTTCTTGCTATTGTTGGTCTTCGTAATTGTGGTAGTGAGTCGAACAGGCTAGAGTAAAGCCGAATGAGGTAGCGTCCTTAGCACTGCCGTTTTATACAGGACTCCAAGGAAGGCGGAATTCTCAGACATGGCTCTGCAGAAGGCGAAACGTGCTGAAGCGTTAGCCATAAAAACGTTTACAATAACTTCGTCTAAGCATAGCAATAAACTAAGACATTAACTATCAGTTGCGTATTTCTTCTTTTCAGTTCCTTCTTTTATTTTTTAACCTTTAAGGTTTGACGCGAGCTGATTTCCACTTACACGTTGTGGAAATAACGACTTCTTTCATCTTTAAATCAACGTATTTCAGTTCAGTACGAACTTTATTGATCCGATTAGGAAGTGTTAGAATGGGCAAATTATTGCCTACGGGATAAAAGCACTCTTGTTTTACCATGATGAAATTCCAATTTTATGGAGCGACCAACCATATCATGTGCTGTTTTTCTTCATGCAGACTCGTATTTCGAAAATGAAAGCAATTGAACAAGCGATATTTCGTCCATTAGAACCTAATGATGCCCACAATGCGTTATTGACTTTTATGGCTCCCAGGATTTCGTTTGCAGTTCTGCAAATCTGGATCTCGTTTTTCTTTTCTTTCGAAAATTTTAGCAATAAACAATCGTCAAAGTCAATCAACACTTTCGAAATCTCGTGCTTACTCCTAATTAGATCAAAATCTCATCTATAAGCCGATTACATTTTTAAGTCCTTAAATGTTCTAGTTATCGAAAAATTATCAACAGTTTGTAGAGAACCAGTTTTTGATCTTTGGTATCCAGGTTGGTCTCATGGCGATCGTATATCAGTTAGCGTAACGAATCACTGTTCCCATGGTCGACGACTTTCTATTAACCTCGGCATTGGATCATGAATATCTCGTTTTCTTTCTCAACAACCGCGAGGTTACTATTCAGCACACGTTTACTTTCTTAAAAGAAGAACACGTACGACACAACAGTAGCTGACGTTTCGGCAGTATCGTCTTGTTCAGAGCCTGGTAGGATGCACTGATACGCAATTTTTTGGGTCATACCCGTCAACAGTACGCTAATCAAATCATTGTGTTGAACTGAAATGTGGAAAATAGTACTCTTCTTCAGAATCATGGAACACGACTGGTCAAATTCGATGCTTGTCCATCCTTCATTGTATTTTCTACTATCGTACCCTTTTACATCCCCAAGGAGGAACCTCCTGAAATATTCTGCGATGTACCGAAATACAGAGCACCCGAAAGTCTATTAAAATTAAAAAAATTTCTATTCTAGTGAAACTTGTCGCTGGTGTCGTTCAATCAATAATACTAGAGAAAACAGTAATGTGTTCGTAATTATGATGTTTAGAAGATTGAAAAAACGTTGGTATACGGCTAAGCGTCCGGACATCTCAAATACAAATGGTCCACTCGTGAACTCTGAGAGTTTCGGATTTTTATTGGATTGTTGAAAACTTCTTCAAACTCCTTTTTTCTCCTCTATTTATTTTTCACCTGTTTTGAATGGTGTCATTGTAATTGATTTTCAGGGACGTGGAGCGAAAAAGGGATCGCTTTTATATGGTGGTAGTGGCAATACGCTAGCTTCTGATGAAATAGATCTATCAGCATTGTAAGTTGTATATTTTGGTTGAAGGGTGCGTATGGCGTAGTGGTTGGAGGCGCCTTTGCGACACACACGTTAAATCGATCCCGGCGCCCATGGCCCACCAAGCCTTCCATCCCTCCAGGGTCGGCAAATTGGTACCAGACTTATCTGGGAGGATAGCAGCACTGGCTGGAGGTAGACCACCGCGGGTCATTGTAAAGGCCAGATATGCATTCAATCACCTCCAACGATACTCAGTGAAGTCGAATGCGTGGCGCATCTCTCAGGGATTGATCAACGCCGAAAGCTTTATCCTTTATCCTTTATCCTTTATCCTTTATCCTTTATCCTTTATCCTTTATCCTTTATCCTTTATGTTTTTGTTGATTACTACCAGAGTTTTGAGATTGCATTAGTAAATGTGAAAGAATATTTATGGCCGTATAACTATTTTCCCTGCACCTTGTTTCAGTGATATGCTAACACTAAGTTGTTACCAAATATTTATTCGGCTAACGTTTCGGCGTCTTTATCCTTATTAGAACCAACGATCCGAGTCGATAGTCGATCCTGTAGCCGTCCTGTAGCCATCCTGTATAAAGGAGTGCTTCCGGGTAATCATGCCTCATCTGAGCGATGGTCCACTGAAGAGGATCCGACTCGATGCGACAACAAAGGTACTAAGTCGAGAAGACGAACGACTGTGGATATCGACTCAGATCATCGGCTCTGATGAACATGAAGGCATCGAAACGTTAGCTAAGTATTTGGTGACAACCTTGTGTTAGTGGCATTTTCTCTGCTTTGGTCATGGAGGTGTCTGGCTGAGCTGTTGTAAATAAAGAGTATATAATAACAACCCCTTTGTGTGCTAATCAAGGAAATAGCGAGTTATTCATCAACGCAGAAGTCAATAAAAATTGGTTTGGGAATTACTGTTTTTTTTATTCGTATTTTTGTTGAGCAAACGCGAAGCTTATTCGTGAATAAAGAATAGTAACACCTCTCGTTTGCTCAACAAAAATACGAAGAATTACTTGATCAATGCCGAGGTTAATAGAAAGTCGGTCGTGAGAGTTACTGTTTTTTTAGTTTGCTTCATGAATAGTTTTAGGAAATTTTGAAAAAAAGGCTTTTTAACTTAGAAGTTCGCAGTTCTTGAAATTAACTCTATTTCTAACGTGGTATATGGCAACCTGTGGTTCCATGATAGCTTATCAGACCTCTTGATGAAGACTTCTTTTTCCAGTGGGTCTCACCTTGATTGTTGCAGTTCTATGTTTAGCACTATTCTTATGTCGTAATCATTTCTGAACAGAACATTTAGAAACGTCAGCTCTGTTCTTTTTTTTTATCGCGCCATTATTCTATCAGCAATTTATAAACATTTCAGAAAGCGTCGTCGCATAGCTGCTCGTCTCGCAATGTGTGATGATGATGATGATGAAGAAGAGGAAGACGAAATTTGGAGCAAGCGAACATCGTCTCCAACACCACAACCTTGGGATCGACCAAAAGGTCGGCTTGCTAATCGAGTCACACGAGAGTAGGGCACACTTATGTTACTCTACGGTGTGCGAAAACACCGAATATATTCACTTGGCTTGGTAATATGGCATTGCTAATAGTTTTTATCAGTCAAAAATTATGAGATTCTTTGCTATGCTCGTGTACACCTCCATTAGTTGTCATCCCGCTGTCTCTACACATATATATAGTCCTAAACATTTTTCAATTTTCATGTAGATCTCTTATGCCGTCACAAATCGAATGCTTTTCTATTTTCCATTTTTCCATCTTCTTTTTCATCTTCCATCTACCTAAGATGTAACGTGTTTGAAATCATCTCTAAATCTCTAAGAACCACTTTTCTTCAAAATCTGTTTTCAGCGTCGATATTCAGGCTTGCGGTGGGGACATCTCATGGAGCTTTTCGTAATGATTATCCAATCTTGAAATGCACTTGATGTTTTATTTTTATTAAATACAAATTTTTTGGGTTCCAGTTGAACCAATGGTCTATAAGTTAAATCATTGTTGTAATTTGTTTATGCTCCTTAACTTTGATGACTAATAAATGAAAAGAGATCCACCGTGTTGATTGTCCATCAATGGAAAGAGAGTAAATAATTCAAAACAGTGGCTTTCTATAAGTATCTGCGTAAATAATCGACATATTATATATATATATATATATATATATATATATAAAGGATATAGGGTAAAGCTCTCGTCCTTGACAATCCCTGAGGGATGCGCCATGCATTCGACTTCATTAAGCATCGTATGGAGGTAATTGAATGCATATCTGGCCTTTACAATGGATTGCGGTGGCCTACAGATGTATCGGACCAGTGCTGCTGTCCTCTCAGGTCTGGTGAAAATTTGAGGACTCCGGAGGGCTGGAAGGCTTGGTGAGCCATGGGTATGGGGATCGATTCTAGCGTGTGTTGCAAGGTGCCTCCGACCACTGCACTACATGCGCCCTTATTGTATATATACAAGAATATATGATATATATATACATATATATATACATATACATACATATATGTACATATATATATGTATATATATACAATAATCTTACGAACTGGTGTTGTTGAGCTGATGCGAGTTTGGTATAAGTCGTTGTTGGTTTTGTTGTTAGATGGTCGACGCTTCGGCAAGTTCTCCCACAATTCGATGAAAAACCTATAATGTTAATGAAGATCCAACAAACGTCATGCGATTGGGACCACTCGCGTGTTGTTCATGTGGGACAACGAGTGCGACCCATTTTGGCTCAGACCAAAAGCTAGGGTTATTCTCCAAAACAAATTTTCAAACCTAAGTAAGATTCTTTTTAAACTACCCTTCCTATCAAACGAAATAAGTTGGGCCTTCAAGAGGTCCATGAGAAAAAGTGGTCTTGAAAGTTATGTGGCGTCTACTGCCCTCCCACCTAATACCCTACGCCGTCAATTAATTCGCAACCGACTCTATGATCGTTTGTTCCGCTTAGAAAACCGTGTGATCTGCCCTAATGGGAGGGGCGGAGATGGTATGAGTTGTGGTGCAATTTACTTGGTATCATGCAACGCATGTCGTGAAGAATATATTGGGGAAACAAGTAGACCGCTTCATGTCCGCATAAAAGAATAGCTAGATGGGAAAGTCAAAAATCGTGAAAGCACTCCGATAGGGGTACACACATGGCACAAAAGTACAATGGCGATTATTTTGAAGTGACTGCCCGGATCCTGATGCAGGAATAAAAACAGCAACGCGCAAGGCTCCTGAGGAGTTTTGGATAAATTCAAAAGTCCAAAGATGAACAGGAAAGACGAATGCTTCACTATCACACGTGACCTGGTGCTTTGTTTCAAATTGATTTTCTGACCGTGTTGGGTCACACTCGTTGTCCCACTTGAACAACACGCTGACGTTCTCTTCGCAACAGCACGTTGAGCAGTCATTGAAAAAATTGAAATTTGCTTATATGCTGGATCTTCAATACTACTGAAGATTTGACACCGAATTATAAAGCTATTGTTACCCATAATACGTTGTCGTTCTGAAGAGGGCGAAGTCGTCGAAGCGTCAACCATCAAACAGCAGCAGCAACAACAACAACAGCTTATACCAACCTCGCATCAGCTCAACAAGATCGGTTGGTAACAACATATATAGGGAGATGTTAAATATTTGTTCAAGCTCTATAACTTTCAGATTTTGGTGAAGAGTAGGCGATAAAACGTAAGGATAGATGATAAAGTGTTCAGTAATTTTCTCTCTGACTGAGTTGATTATGTGTATAGAACATATATGAGTATATGACTAAGTTTGGTACGCACTTGTTTTCATATAACATTTCCGCGCCTTTGCGTTCTCCAGAGTTGCGTCAATCTGAGCTGATGGATTACAGCTGATCGTTTTCGTGAAATGGGTTTCCGTAGTTGCATTGAGTTGAATCCAGAGGAGGGAGCAGGGCTGGAGTGGAGAAGTTCACTCAACAATACTCTTCTGTACAGGACGGTATACAAACTCTTAAGAAGAAAAAGCTCCGAAACGTTAGCCGAATGAAAGTTTTATATCAACCTCGTGTCAGTTCGGTCATGCAGAAAAATATTGATTATTTTTGCCGATGCTCAATCAAAACCATTTATATTAATGGTTTATATAAAACCGTTTATATTAATCTAACCATAAGATCTAGCCCTCTATCCCTTAAGGATTGCGATGTATTCAACTCCATTCGTACTATCATAAACATTAGTAGCTGATGGTGCACAAAGCCGTTGTTTCCGTCTTCTCAGATAAATCTGCAGCTATTCTGCCGATCTCAGGTAGATACAGGGTTTGGTTAGCCTTTGATGTGCGATCGAACCAGCTGCCATATTACAGAAAACCTCTAACCACTATCCTCCACTCGCTCCCACCTAAATTTTAGTTATGCTAATATTCCGAAATTTATGAAAATATCCTGGTTATTTTCAGGATTTCAACTAGTTTGATATTTTTTCAGCGCTTTCGTTAGAGTGGAATAAGAAGCGAATTGATTTCACTTATCGAATCATATTAGGTAGAAGCTTCGGTCGATAGTTTAAACTTTCTATGGACACTCTAAATGCTTTCTTCATGCTTCCTCTCGACAATCCAAGAAGTAGGACTGTAACAGTTAGAAATAACGGGCTCTTCTTTGTTGTTTTCTCTTGACGTCCTTTTCGAATGCATCGCTGTACTATTTATTCAGTTACTTCTTGGATGCTTGTGTGACCCCTCTTCACTGGTTGTGCGGGCCCTCGCATAATTTCGTTTTTTCGGAGTTTTGTTGGTTTAGCCATTGTGGTTATCTGGTGTCCCGAAGCCAGCCTAGCCAAAGTCTGCTCAGGTTGTCACCACCACAGGAAGTCGCTGCACTTATGGATCAGAGTGGAATTTCCCACAATGCGACTAGTTTCGTAAAGGACGGTGACGGATCCTGGTGTTCTGGGCTTCCTTATGGAAACGCTGGACTCTTTCTCAGCTTGTGAGGCTCTGCCAGAGGGACGAATCCTCTCGCTAGACATTGCAGCCCGACACTCAGGAAGACCTCCCGGCCACGATGAGGCGGTAAACCGTTGGGAGGTATTCAATCAGAATAATATAAAATACTAACCTAATTCTGAATGCGCCGTTTTCTTGTTCAGCAATCGTGAGGTTGTTAAACAGCATGCATTTACTTCCGTAGAAAAACACTATACAATACAACAGTTCGGGAGTACCGCCTTCTTCCGAGTCAGGAAGGGTACACTAATATGTAATTTACTAGTTCAAACGCTTCAGTAGTGCAAACAGAAAGATGAAAATCTGAACAATAATTACACTGTCACCGGTTTCTCCCACCATTTTCTATCTGCCTTCCACCAAAGAAGAGCAGCCGCTTGGAGTCGCATGTGGCTGGTTACAGCACCACCCCACCTCAAAAAACAGTTTTGAGGATACGGGGCTAGATCACGCGCTATCTCAGGGTATTCCTCTCTGCTATTCATTCTCGGATTTTTGAAATTTATCCAGAAAGCCTCGAGTAATTTGCGCGTTGGTGTTTTAATCTTCCGTGCGATGATAGAGACTTTCACATCGAAATCTTCTCCACTATGTTTTTGTATCCTAAGCGTGCCTAGTGGTGTGCTTTCTTTTGATTTTCGTTTGCCATCTAGGTGTTCTTTTATGCCGACACATAAAAGTCTGCTCGTTTCGCCGATGTATTCGTCTCCACAAGCACTACAAGAAATCAGGTATATCGTACCTGAACCCTTGCAGTCACCATCTCTGCCGTTAGAGCAAGTTACACAATTTGGTGTTTCACATGGGCGGTCATACAGGCGGTTGCAAGCTAACTGACGACGTAGAGTGTCCGGTGGTATTTCAACTATCGCTACCGATTCCTCTTAATAAGAAGGTTGGCGATGGGGCAGCAACTGGCACCAAGCCGTGCCATTGCGTTTATGTCCAAAGTAGAAGCCCCGTTCTTGGTCTCCGGCCACTACTCTACTGCAGGTACATAGATAATTGTTTTGTCGCCTTCTCTACGCAGGAGGAGATGGACAAATGCTTTGAATGAATGAACGAGCAGTCAGAGTACATCAAGTTCTCCCGAAAGAAACCGAAAGACGACTGGTTCCCGTTTCTAAACGTTCAAATAAACCTATCAAGTAGCGGTTACATGACAAAGTGGTACCGAAAACCAAGCAATAAAAACATCCTGGTTCATTCCCTTTCTTCCCACCCTTCACACCTAAACAGGGCGCTTGTGAGAAACGTGTTTCGAACAGCCACATCTGCGCGCACAAGTAGGGAGCTAAAGAATCGCGTGACTTGGCTCGGCAAATAGCCATTTCCAATGGCTACGAAATTGTAACCCCACGAGATAAGCTTCGAAGGACAGCTAAGCGCCCAAGCGAAACACATGGCCAAAATAAAACCCCGTTTATGATTCCTTTCATTGGCGATGAAGTAAGCGTAGCTATCAAACGATGCTCAAGAAGGGCAGGTCTAGAGGAATCGGCAGCGATAATTGAAATACCAC